TTTCCTAAGGGTTTCCTTGGGTTGGCATTGCCCAGGATTGTAAGAGATTGGTGGAGGGCTAGAGTTGGGAGGGTGAATGGCAAAGTGAGGACCATTATTTGCAATGGTGATAGCCTGAACAGGCTCTGATGTAATCTTTTTACCTGCTTGTCTTTTTAAAACTCATCTGTCACAGCAAATCCCCTGCCTGTTTGATTTTTGCCACTAGTTCATTCCAGGTTAGGTGTTCTAAATCCACCGCCCCTATGGTCATTTTTTTCTGAGAATTTAACCCTGCATAGGTGCTCTGTACCAGTTCAGGTCCCTGTTAAGGGAGAGTGATAATCCCATCCTCTTCTGTCTGGGGCAATGAATCAGAAAGAGATGCCAGCATTTTCTTCTGAATTAGATAAGCTTCTGGGGCTTCTCCTCGTTTCTGCTCTTCCATTATATACAGTTTCTTAAGGGAAGAAGCAGGGAGTAATATTTTAAGAGCACTTATCATCCATTCCTGGGGTCCAGCAGCAGTCCGCTCCCAAGAACCTATGCCTCTGTTCAGAGCATCTGCATCACAAGGGGAGGCGCATAATGGAGCTAATTGTGTTAAGTCCATGCCATCAGCAGAGGGGTACATTTGCCAAATGCTATCTAGCCACGCAACGGTGGTGTCGCGGTTGAGTGCCCCCAGTCGCTCAGCCATAGCCTTGGCTTGATTAGGAGACCATTTCACTACATCAGTGACCATCTCTGTTGTGGGAAGATCAGGTCCTGCAACTAAGCATTTAACCTCCCTTGTGGAAACGGGCAATGTTCTGGATGCAGGGCCAATCAGGGTTGAATAGGCTTTTGGGAAACGCATCAGGGGGTAACTCTATTTTCCCAGGGGACTCAAAGTCACAATCCTCTCTTAACCTTACAGCTGCTACCACCCCCTTATGGGTACTAAATTGGGCACACAATTTACTAATCTCTGCCTCACACTCCTGATGGCTTGCTGCTGCCTTGGCTGCCTTGTTCTCATCTGCCAGGAAACGAGTTGCTGCTCTCGCTTCTTCTAACAAAATTTTTGTGTGTGTTAACTCTTCCCTATACTGCTCTGCATTCCTACTTGCTTTGTCCCTCTCCTCTTGTATATCTCTAAGTAAAGTCACCATTTTAACCTTTTCTGCTATAAAGTCACAACCATCTGTCTCATATTCTTTCAAATGCTGTTGTAACTGCTCTCTCTCTCTCAAGCTCCAGTTCCTGCCTCCCCTTTAACATTTCAGCCATTTCCAAACATGCATAAAATAATGCCCATGCAGCAGCCACGTCTTTTGCGCTACCATGTGGCTTAAGGGTTGTGCAACTCTGTTCCAAGCTCAGATTTGCTTCAGTCAGGGGATTCTCACCCTTGAAGCACCTCCTTTCCCAGGGGCATTTCCACTTCTTCATTACCCATCTTTCTAACCTGCTAGTTTTCTCCCGTCTCAAGCAAGCAGAGACAACTCAACTTCCCGTATCACACTAATCATCACTACCAAAAAGGCTCTTCCACACAGTCACTTAAATTACATACTGATACAGTATTGCTCTACAATCTTAGTTCTAAAGCACAACTCTTAACTCTTTATGGCACGGTCCTAAAGTTATGCTAAGCACAATTCTTAACTTAAAAGTTACAGGAGGTTACCAAATAGTCTATGAGAGAGGTGCCTTGCTACAGGAGCTTGGTCTGATAGGAAAGAAAAGAGAGGAAAAAAAAGGAAGAGAAAGCTCTCTCAGGTCTGTGCCTCAGTTTCCCCACTGCAGCAACTACTCAACAATTACCTTGAGATTAGGGTCACGTGCTGCCCAGCCTCCTCCACCAATTTGTTACCAGGTTTGCCCATCCCATTGGGGTGCGCTGATTTATTAGAGTTGCATTTCTGGGGTCATTGTAATTCTATCAATGTGCTGCTTGTGTCACTTGTGTTTCTATATGAAGCTGTATCTCTCCCTTCTGCAAGTCCTCACTCCCAATGGAGCTACCCTGCAGGGTTCAGTTTCAGTGGGGCTGGGTTCCTCCAGCTACCGAATTAATCGAACACATAAACACATACAGGTTAACAGAGCACATCTGAGTCACCCCAGCCTCAGCACATGAATAGAGTATGTCTGAGCCAGCTGGGTCAGTCACCATTTACAGACTGACCCCCTCATATGCCACAGCTCAACACAGCAGGACCATCAATAAAAAAGTTAGACACACGCACATAGGTTAATGGGGTACCTCTGAGTGGGCAGGGTTACTCAGCACTTCCAAGCTGACACCTTCATGGGCCCCGGCTCAGCACCCCCTTATTTCAGCAGACACACCACTTATTTCAGCAAGGCAATAATAAATGCAGTTAGACACACATACACACATGCTAACAGGGTACATCTGAGCAGGCTGGGTGCTATCAACACTTTCAGCTGATACCCTCATGCGCCTCAAAACGTCCCAATCTCATCATAAGTGTCCTAGTAGTAACTCCCTTGATGAGCAGACCCCACAGGATCTTTGGGCTTTACAGGGATCTTTGGCATAGGTAAAAAAAAGCATTGCTACAGAGCAGGTTGAGGGCTAGAGGAGAAGGAAGAGTAAACGAGGTTCATACCCCATATGTAACAGAAAGCGCTTCCTCATTCTACCAGAGTCACTTCTGGAGCTCTTTGGCCATTTTGGGGGCATTTCAAAAAACATATAAGTCTGTCCCCCTCACCCTTTGACGCACTAATAGGTATTTGAAATGCTTCACATGTGACATCCATCCACACCCTTAGACAAAAGGAAGATGAAATATTTAAGATAACATGGAGGTTGCACATTTGTCAGCAGACTCTGTTCTGGTAGCATAGAACCTCTCACTAGCAGGCTTGCTGCAGGGATAGGGACAGGGAGTTTGCACAAAGGCAGAAGGGTCTGCTTACTGATATTGTAGATTCTTCTGTCCAAGATGACCAGTTTCCAAGAATTGTGAATATCAATCAAAGCTCTTCAGGCTTGTTCCTAATTACAGTTTGCAAATATTGCTAGCTCTGCCAAGGAGTTTCTCTTTCC